CTCACTTGTAGCTACCATGCAAATCCGTCCATTGCTTCATGAAATATCCATTTACTTTACATCTTACCAAATAAATTTAAGCCACATGTATCTATACTTAGGGAAAGGAAATGGGAGGTATATATATATATATAGAAAGAGTGGAAGTTGGCTGATGGTTTAGGCAAAAAAGGAAAGAAACCCGTAACACACAAGAGAGAAAAACGTGATAGTGAGGAGAGAAAGAAAAAGGAAAGGAAAGGAAAGAAAGAAGGGGAGAACCTAAACAACCTTAAGGAAATTCTAATAAAACCTAAAAGAGGTAAGTAGGTTTCATTTTTTTGGCTGATTAATGTCTTAAATTATTATTTTTTAAGTTATTTTGATAGTGTTTATTTCATGGGTTGTAATAATTTTCAATGGTTATATGCTTGATGCTTGGGATAAATCTATGTATGGATGCCTTTTTGTGATGATTTATGATGTTATGATTTTTTGAAAAATGTCCAAGAATGTATTAATGGGTTGGATTGAACTTGGACTAAATTTAAGTGAACTAAAACATGTTTAAAGTTGGCTTGGAATGAACTAATAAATTAGTATTGATAAGGAGTAAGTTCTGTCCGAATTTTAGGGTGAATGTTTCAGGATTTTAGATCGATTTCTAGGTGAAACTTAAAGCATAAAAGTTGTTCATCTATGTTTCAACTAATGTCCTTTAAAATTTCTTGGTCGTTGGATTCGTGTACAAAGATTTATACCCGATTTAGTATGGATATCTCTAGACAAACTACTACTAGGCAGATTGCTCCCTAAGTTTCAAAAATTTGTAATTAATTGTGTACTTGGTATTTAGACCTAATTTTTGGATATGTTATAAATAAATATGTCTAGTATCTAAAATAAAATGGGTAAGATTTAATTATGTTCTAAAATTGAAAAATTATTTACTCGATTAGGAGTTGCCCGGTAATAAAACCTAAAACCAAAGAATTAGACTTAGATAAAATTAATGGGTTTGAAATAAACTAAATGGGCTTGGACTAAATAAAATGGAATTGAATAAAGTCAATGGACTTAGGATAAAGTTAATGGGCTTGGATTAAAGTAAATGGACTTGAACCTTCTTTGAAATATTAACGAAAGTAATTAACAATATTAATGAGCGAAAGTTGTGCTCCCGTCGTGGGTATCATGATTGGTATGTGACCAATGGATAAATTCCAAGTGTGGGTTGGACCATGAGTATGGCATGAGAATGAAGGGTTGGTACCCGAATTTGGTTGAATGTGATTAAATATGTCATCACGTGCATCATGTGTATAGTGGGTGGTTTAAGACAAGTCAATTGATCGAGAAATGGTTTATACATCTAGGTTTGATAACCTAACTGGAATAAATGGGTATTAGTAGTCCAATACTCTAGGTCGTGTGCTCGCACTATTAGACGATGGATTTTCGCTAATAGTAGTTACAACGAGGGATAATTTCGTTGTAGCGAGAAGATGATACGAGGATCATCTAGATGAAATCAAGCTCGTGTGCTTGCACTCTGTTAGACGATGGATTTCCGCTAACGGTAGTTACAACGAGGGATAATTCCGTTGTAGCAGAAGGTGATCTACGGATCATCCGGATGATAAATAGAGTAGATCGGCTAATACCCGTGGTACCCGAGATTAAAATTTATGAGTATGGTGGGAAGTCAAAACAATATTGCATATCACGTGCATCACCCCGCTTACCGAGCTTCGGCTCACCTCGTTGTTATTTTTTTTTGTCTTGACGGAAAAAGGACAAGTTGGTACGGATGCGGTGGCTCCTCTTAATCGGCTCATGTGAGGCACCATATATTACTTTTTATTTTGTTTGTAAATTTGGGGTATGGAGCTCGTGAGAAATTGAATATTGCATGTAATATTTTATTAATGTATTTAATTATATGATGTAAATTTTATCTTAAGGAGTTATATACATAATGTGCTATTAAATTTTTAAGAATATCATAAGAGAACTACTTAGAGTTTAGGGTATGTCGGCGTAACGCACTTCGTCTAAGTACTCTACTTGAGTAGTAGAAATATGATCAGGCGGGGCGTTACACATTACATTCATGAACCTAGTTATGTGTGATGTGTCATTAATATAATGTTTAATATTACGTATGTAATAATTAAGGGATGTCCGGTTATATGTGTATGAGTATCTCTATATATAGTTATAAGTGATTTGATATTATGTAGAGTGGAGTGAGTTAAGTTTCTAATAAACAAAGTACCTTTTATCAAGTGTTCTTGTGTCTCCTCCCTCTCCAAGTAATTTCCTTCTTGTTATCTTTATGTGGTGTCCGAAATCTATCCCCAACAAATTGGTATCGAGCCCGAGTTAGGTTCCTATCTCCAACAAGTGTTAGCGGAGCATTGGTCGATTGAACGACATTGGTCGATTGTTAGTAAGACTAAGAAAAGGTTAAATTAGGCACAAGTGGTAGAAGTACATAATTGAAGAAGTTTTTCTCCGGGTTTGTTGAAAAGAGAACCTATTGAGTTGGTGTGAGTTAAGAGTCGGACTCCATAAGAAAAGTAAAGAACTGGTGAAGAGTTCTTTTAAAAGCAAGAGTGAGGTCGAGAAGAGAACCTTGCAAGATGAAATGGAGTGTACTCGTGCCTATTGTTGTTTCAAGCACCATTCAAAATGTTTTTGAAGGAATTACTTGAAAAATTGAATTTGCCTCCGGCAAGTTATTCATATGAAAAGTTTGGGCAAGATCATTCTCCGAATTTATTGCTAAAGTTGAGTTTGAAGATAGATTGGAAAAACATACCTAATATGGATTCAAGGCATATACCAAGAAAGATGCCAAAAATGAAGCAGACTTTACGTGTGATAAGACATTTGACGTGTCTCTATGACATTATCATAAAGGATGTTAATGAAAGAGAATTATATGAAACAAAGTTTGATTTGAGCTAGATGTAGGATGTATATGAGGATTTGAGGAAAGATTATAATAATGTTGTCCAAGAAATGCAAGAACTGAAGAAGAAACTAGAAAAAATGGAATCTAGAGAATCGAGCACTAATGGAGTAAATTTCAAAGTTCCAAGAAGAGTTTTTGCTATTCGAGATTTTTCTCTTGGATGTAGACCAAGTAATTTTTGAAAAGTCATGACTAGTGGATAATTAAGTTTACGGGGGATGTTGGAAAGTAAACTTAATTATGGCTAAGTATGAATAAATAAGTATGAATGTAGTCATTACATTCATGAACCTAATTATGTGTGATTTGTTATTAATATAATGTTTAGTATTACGTATGTAGTAATTAAGGGTTGTCTAGTTATATGTGTATGAGTATCTCTATATATAGTTATAAGTGATTTGATGTTATGTCGAGTGGAGTGAGTTAAGTTTCTAATAAACAAAGTGTCTTTTATCAAGTGTTCTTATGTCTCCTCCCTCTCCAAGTAATTTCCTTCTTGTTATTTTTGTGTGGTGTCTAAAATCTATCCCCAACAAATTGGTATCGAGCCCGAGTCACGTTCCTATCCCCGACACATTGTTAGTAGACACCAAATAAGATTTGTATGGAAAATACATGGCATGCTTTCCATTATATGTTTTCAATGCTCTCTGATGCTCTTTATATATATATATATATATATATATATATATATATATATAGCCATGATTGAATTCTATTTGAATTCATTTTGCACAGTTCTACAACTTGGCCTCAGTGATCGAGTCAAAGTCGAAGGATGCAGAGTCATTAAAGATGACTAAAATACAGAAGAAGAAAATGGTTGTAGTTGAGCCCCCGAATATCACCATTTCCCATTTTATGAGAATGTCCAAGAAAGGCATTTTGTAGTTCCAATGGGATGAAGCTCCAATTGATGTATGTAAATAAAATTATGATCCATTATGAAGTCTGACTTATGATGCAATATTTTTTAGGATGGAACTCCTGTTCCTTTTGTAGCATTGATAGCATTTTAGGCTATGCTGGTACAAATGTTAGTAAATGAAGGGTTTTTGGCAAAATTAGTTAGATATTTGGCTCCTTCGCACTTTAGGTGATGTTGATATCAAATCAATTACTGGATTTGTAATGGAAGGTTTGTTAGACTGGTTAAAAATATTGACCAATAAACATTATGCAACTTTCGTTCCATTTCTTGGTTCCAAGTAGCCGTGAGCAATTGTCAACCAATACATTAGCTTCTAAATAAAGATGAAATTGTAAGGACGTTGTGTGTGGCTTGAATCTTATAGGCCACTAATATATTTAGCCTATTAAGATTTTATATATATATAAGGATGAGGTATTTAAACCTCATTATGTCTCTGTTTAGGAAAAAGATTGAAAGATAAAAATTTTGTATTAAGCCTCCAAGGTTCTTATATTCTCGTACTATCAAGCTAATAAAATTTCCCTCTCGCCCATGCAGTAGGCAATTTATCAAACCAAGTAAATTCTATGTGTTGATAATTTATTTAGTTTTAACTTTTAATTATTATCTGTTATTACTTGTCTTGTTTTTGCTGTTTGTCATGACATTTCTTATAGCTAAATAAATAAAAAAAATCATTAAAGGACAACAATCTCCTTAAGAAGGCATATGTGGGAAAAAAAAAAAAAGATTTATCAACAAACCAAAATTGGTAAGAGAAAATATTTATTTAAAAACACAATTGGTGTTATTGATACGAAGTTTCATCCAGCCCAAGTAAATTGACCATGGCACCACTCTTCTAGAGGTCAATCCTGTTGAAAAGTCTGAGTAATTGGGACCTTATAATACCTTAAAAATCCATTCCATCTTGTCCCATTCGTAGAAAATTCACAGCCAGCAAAGTCATCACGTAAAAAGTCTAAATTTTGGCCTCCATTGTCACCAAAAAACTATTCATCAAATTCATTTCCTTCTAGAATTGATTACTATTATATGTTCGGAAATCATTCAAACAGAGCATAAACAATAGCTTGGCCAAAAAAAAAAAAAAAAAACTTAGGGATGAGGAAAGCAGAGGTAGTGTTTATCCCATTACCTGCAATGGGCCACGTTATAGCTGCAGTAGAGATGGCTAAGCTTATTGTTGAACGTGGAGATCGAATCTCAACAAGTGTCCTTATCATGCATCCACCTCTTGACCCCAGTACAACCAAATACACAGAGTCACTCACTGCATCAAATCTACCCAATCGTATGCGAGTCGTTGACTTACCAGGTTTTGAGCAGACTGCAGTATCTAATACTGGCGGCAACTGGATGGCTTCTTTGGCTGATGCCCAAAAACCCCATGTCAAAGAATTTGTTTCCAAGATCAAGACTCAGTCAGAGTTGAGCCCTGACTCTCCTCTACTTGCTGGGTTTGTTTTTGATACTTTTGTTTTGGGAATGGAGGATTTGGCTGAAGATTTTGGTGTTCCCTGGTATATTTTCTCTGCATCAGGTGCAGCTTTTATTGGCTCCATGTTGCATCTCCAGGCCCTTCATGATGAGCAGAAAGTGGATCTCTCTGAGTTTGAAAACTCGGATGCTGAGTTGGAAATTCCAAGTTTGGTGAACCAATTTCCTGCTAAGCTCCTGCCTTCTATGGTGTTTAATAGAGTATCGCTCCCTGCTTTTCTTGATGCTGCAAGAAGGTTGAGAAAGACTAGAGGAATTGTGGTAAATACACTTAAAGAGTTGGAATCACATGCGGTTAACTCTCTTTCTAATGGTGAAATCCCTCCGGTATATCCCGTAGGACCAATTGTGAGATGTCAAGGAAATGACTATGATTTTGGATCGGATCGAATCAACGATTATAAAGACATCATGCAGTGGCTCGATGATCAGCCTCCATCATCAGTAGTGTTTTTATGCTTTGGGAGTTGGGGAAGTTTCGGTATTGATCAAGTGAAAGAGATTGCCTGTGCACTAGAGCAATGTGGACATCGATTCTTGTGGTGTCTACGGAAACCTTCTTCCAAGGGTAAGATTGAATCACCAACTGATTTTGTAAATTTCCAAGAAACTTTACCCCAAGGGTTTTTGGATCGGACGGTTGAAACAGGCAAGGTGATTGGATGGGCTCCACAAGTAGAAATTTTAGCCCATAAAGCTGTGGGAGGGTTTGTATCGCATTGCGGATGGAATTCTACGTTGGAAAGTATTTTATGTGGAGTTCCAATTGCCGCATGGCCATTATATGGAGAGCAACAATTTAATGCTTTTGAAATAATAATTGAGTTGGGAATAGCGGTGGAGATTAAAATAGATTATAGAAAGGATATTTCTTCCAAGGATGGCAGCAAAGTAACTGTGAGCTCGGACAGTATAAAAAAAGGAGTAAAGCTTGTAATGGAGCAAGATAGTGAGATAAGAAATAAAGTAAAAGAGATGAGTCAATTAAGCAGGAAAGCTTCGGTGGATAATGGATCTTCATACTCTGCATTGGCTAGTCTAATTGAAGACATGATGAAGAACATCGCGTGAGGCAATCGCTTCGAGCTAGCTTATCCTAATTTAGCATTTTAAATCTTTGTTGAGCTTGATCTAATTCAAAGCAATTTAGGATTCAGAACATTTTTCTTTCAAATGTTTTTGTATAATTGATGCAATGTCTTTTCTTATCAAGCATGTTTAACCTCTTTGGAGGCAAATAAAGGAAGTGGAAGAGATGAGTAAAATAAGTGCGAAAACCTGGTTACATATGATGAAACAATTTAATTGAATCTCAATTTCCTCCAAAACATTAAAACATTGAGTACTTTAGCTTTATTTTGAAATAAATATGTGATTTGTTTAAGTATTAGAAATTTAATTGATGTCAGTGATTGTTGTATTTCTCGCCTATTTTGTTTACAGAAAAGTCCCCCAATTGCCTACTCTTTTTGTATTGAAAAGTGAATTGCTGAGCTTATTCTTATGTAATAAGATAATTCTCTATCATCTTAATTGAGTTAATTTTATTTTTAAATATATATTAAGTTACTAATCTATTATTTTATTAAGATTTTCATAACAAACTATGAGAATTATTCACATAATTTGATTATGACTATTTTTATTTTTAAAATATCATTGTAAGCTAGTCAAATAAAAAGCTTTTATGTATAAATTATTTAACTAATTCTGATAATTAAGCCTAAAATCTTGCTAGAATTATAGATTAGACATTTAATATATATATTTTAATGACAAAATTGATCTAATTATGGATATAAGGATAGCTTGAAAAACTATTCTATTGTATAATGACTGAACCATTAAACCAAAATAATAATAATAATAATAATAATAATAAAAGATGTTTTAGGATGAACTTCCTTCTTCTTCTTTGATGTAATTTTGATATAGTCTTAGCCTATTGATCATAGGTTTATGCATAAGAAAGTCTAGTTTATAGTTTTCTATTCGGGTTTATCGTCGATCTAGCTAATACGAAATGATCTTATTTTTAATGGCACTACTCCTGATTGAGATAATATATTCTCTTTCGGTGATTTTTTATAAAATAGTATATTGAACTAACCCCCTGTTTAGATAGGGATTAAAGCGCGAGAGAGGAAAGAAAATGGGGTGGAAATGAAAGTTTTCACTCGTTTGGATTGTAGAGGAAACCAGAGGAAAGAAAATAATAATAATAAATAAATGCTTTTTCCATGGGACCCATTTTCCTCCCAAATTTGGGAGGAAACTGAAAGGAAACCTGAAGCTGACCTTTTTTTTTTTTTTTTTGCTTTCTCGTTTTTACCCTTGCTCCATCCATGTGATCAGAAAAAAATAATATTAAATCCTAATTTTCCTCTCATCCCATGGGCTGCAATGGATTAGTGTAGCGTCGATATCAGTAAAGAGGACCACATCCATGTGAATCAATTTGCCATTTGGATGCTGAAGGCTACGTTAGACGATATTATTGTGGTTCGTCTCCGACAACAATAAGTCATCAGAGCTCTGAAGTTTATTTCAATTGTTCTTTTCTCCCTTTTTCTTGAAATTAATTAAGAAATATTTTTAGATAAGCTTTTAATAAACCAAAACTAAGTGCAATTTTGTGTAGGAATAAATTATACATTGTTCTGTACAGTTTCGAGAAATAAATTAATTAGTTATTTCTATTTTAAAATTAATAAATTAGTTTTTTTTATCTATTTTATATTTTTTATATTTATTGTTTTCTATTAAAAAGGAAAAATAAATAAATAAATGTTATGAAAAAAATTAATGAGAATAAAAAAATCAAAATAAAATTGATTTATTGTATCATAAACTATGCATATTTTAATTATTTTGTCATTTTTTTTAAATGAAAAATATATGAACTAGGTTTATGGTAATCATTTTAGCATGAGAGATATTTTTTGTTTAACATTATGTTTACTAGGTGCTTACTATTGAAGATCAAAGGTGGTCATAAATTTATTATAAATATTTAAATATAAAAATATAATCCTAAGAGCATTATAGTATATATATATATATTATATATATATATATATATTTGATAATTATCCAAATAAGGAAAATATATTTTATTTTTTTCTTTCCACTCTTATCCAAACAACAAGTAAAAAATGATTTCTTTCCTTTTTTTTTTCCTCTCTTTTCTTTCCTCTAAAGAGGAATTATCTAAACAAGGAGTAAATATATTGATAATCATTTTTCCTGTTCTAAAAATGGTCTGTTGCGTAACGCTAACGGAATTAAAAAATAAACAAATTCATGACGAACTTGATAATTGGGCTCTTAGAGCAAATAGTATAGCTTTCATGGCATTTTCCGATTTAAAATATTGGTCTACTTTCAATTAACAAAAATAATAAATAAATAAATCAGATTTTTTCTACACCCACAAGAACCGTCACTGCTAGCAAAGCCACACATTTTTTCACTTGCCAACAAGATCAGCTCTGTATCTCCTAACTACAGATCTTTTTTTATCATTAACTAATATTATATGGTCCAGAAAAAAAAAACACTTCAAATCATTACTTTGTATCATTATATTCTAGTGGCATACTATTTTTATGTGTTTGTGTAGTTCCAGGTATTTGTAAACTCATTGCCAGCAAAATGAAGACAGCAGAGCTGGTGTTTATCCCCTTTCCTGCTATGGGGCATGTGGTACCAGCAGTGGAAACAGCTAAGCTTCTTGTTGAATTTGACAACCGGGTTTCTACCACTGTTCTTCTAATGAAGCCAGCTATTGACTCAAGTACCATCAAGTACTCCGAGTCACTTGCTGCTTCAACTCTGCCTGATCGTATGCGGTTCGTTCACTTGCCTTCTCTTGAGCTAAAATCAAGAACAGGTATTTGGCTAGATTTTTTGATCGAGGGCCAGAAACCCCATGTCAAAGAATTTGTTTCGAAGATTGTATCGCAGTCCGAGCTGAGCCATGACTCGCCAAGACTTGCTGGATTTGTTTTTGATGCGTTTTGCGCAGGAATGAAGGATTTGGCGGATGAATTTGGTGTTCCCTGGTATGTTTTCTCTTCCTCAGGTGCGGCGTTTCTTGGTTGCCTGTTATATTTACAGGTTCTTCATGATGAGCAGAACGTGGACCTAACTGAGTTCAAAAACTCAGATGCCAAGTTGGAAATTTCGAGTTTGGTGAACCCACTTCCTGCTAGGCTTCTGCCTTCTATGGCGTTTATGAAAGACGGGGTCCCTGTTTTAGCTGGCACTGCAAGAGGGTTGAGGGAAGCTAGGGGTATTTTGGTAAATACGCTTATAGAGTTGGAATCCCATGCTGTTAGCTCCCTTTCCAACATCGGTATTTCACCATTGTTTCCAATAGGACCCATTGTGAAATGTGAAGGAGATGACTATGGTGTGGGGTCAGATCATCAGATCAATGGCTATAAAGACATCATGGAATGGCTTGATGATCAACCTCCATTGTCAGTAGTGTTCTTATGCTTCGGAAGTTTGGGAAGTTTTAGTGTGGATCAGGTAAAAGAAATCGCGTTTGCACTAGAACAAAGTGGGAAACGATTTTTATGGTCCTTACAAAAACCTTCACCAATGGGTAGCATCGAATCTCCAATTGATTTTGGAGAGATTTTACCTGAAGGATTTTTAGATCGAATAATTAATGTTGGAAAGGTGATTGGATGGGCTCCCCAAGCTCGTATCCTAGCCCATCGAGCTATTGGAGGATTTGTTTCACATTGCGGATGGAATTCTATACTAGAAAGCATGTATTTTGGTGTTCCAATTGCCGGTTGGCCAATATATAATGAGCAAAAATTTAATGCTTTTCAAATAGTGATTGAGTTGGGATTAGCAATGGAGATTACAACAGATTACATTAAGCATTCTAAGAGTGACAATGAAGTGATTGTGAATGCTGATGATATAACGAAAGGAATAAATGATCTGATGAAGCAGGAGAGTGAAGTAAGAAGAAGTGTGAAAAAGATGAGTGAAACAAGTAAGAAAGCCTTGATGGATGGTGGATCTTCGTACTCTTCATTAGGTTGTCTAATTGCAGATGTTATGGGCAGCAAATCCATGAAGTAATTGTTCTAGATTTTGAAAATGAAAAAAAAAAAAAAAGATTTAGCATTATTTTGAATAAGATTTCATAGGTTTAAACTTTTATTTAGAGCAGCTTAAGAGCCTTAGCATAAGAAAGTTTTTATAATTTTTGAATTATTGTAATGTTGCATAAAAATGTTTGATGATGAAATGATGTGTCGTGATGTTTGAGTAATAAAATCACTTAAGTATTTGTAACTTATTGTTGTGTTATCTTAGAGAGTAATATAAAATAATTTCGAGATTTCAACTAACGAGTTTAAATTTTTAGTTAAAATAGTTTTTTGATATGGTATCGAATTTTTAATAACTAAATAGTTATGAGTTTAAATCTAACTCTCACTTTCTCTTCTAATTAAGTAAAGGTAATGATGAGTCCGTATAAGTTTCAAACGTCAAATGATTTTTACTTGAGGAAGTGTATTAGAGAATAATATAAAACTATTTTTAGAGTCTCACCTAATAATTTATATTTTTTTGATTGAAATAGTTTTTTGACATTTTGTTTGAACTAAAATTACTATTAAAGATATAACTTCAAGATATTCATTAAAAATTTAAAACAAATTACTTGAAACATAAAAAAAACTTTCATAGTTAAAATCAAAAGTCATGAGTAATATAAGTAAAAGCAAAAAACCAAAAAAGCAAGAATCGGACATCTTATAATAATTTTTAAAACACTAGTATAAAAACTATATATTAATATAATACATGCATCATTAGTATTGTAAGTAAGAGTGTGTATATATATAAGGTAGGGATAATAAAAAAATGGTTATTCCATATGTTTTGATATTGAAAATCAAGTTTTTGGGATTGACAATAATCTTCTTTTTTTTTTTTTGAGTGAACTAGAAAAAGAATTTTTTAGTTATTGGAATTCTAGTTATTTAAATAAGAGGTCTAGGAGTGATGATTTCCACTATGATTATTATATGTATGATACTAAATATAGTTGCAATAATAACATCAATAGTTGCATATATATATATAGAACCCTCCAAGCCCAAGAAAGACTTCAAGGGCAAAAGTAGGAAAGCTTACGAAGAGGAAAGGTATAAAGATGGATAAGATAAAGCAAACTATAGATCTAGTATGGTGGTCTTACTAACCGATTAGTGAGTAAAGGTCAAGTGGACAACGCTTCTTGCGAGAGTTCAAGGGTGGAGCCCTAATCAAAAGGTTTACAGAATATTTAGCCAGATGTATAGGTCAGTTAGGCCTTTTTTTCTTATAATCTCAGTTGTCCACACTATAAATAAATGAAATATTACTTGTATTTATAGCTGTCATTTAACAAAATCGATAGGAAATTCTAATGTAGTTGTGGAATAGACATTATTATCGAACCACATAAAATTTTTATGTTGTGTAATTGTTTTTGTATTTCTATTTTATTCTTTTGTTTAATTTGTTTCTTAACAAAACCTTTATCTAAGGATAAGATTGAATCATCAAGTGATCATGTAAATTTTTAAGAAATTTTACCATTAGGGTTTATGGATCCGACGGTTGATACAAACAAGCTCATTAGATGGGTTCTATAAGTAAAAATCTTAGTCCATAAAGTTGTAGAAGGATTTATTTCCTGTTATAGATGAAATTGTCCATTGGAAAGTATTTTGTTTGGTGTTTCAATTGCTGCGTGGTCAATCCATAGCGAGCAACTATCTAATGCTTTTGAAATAATGATGAGTTCAGATTAGCAATAGGGATTAGAATAGATTATTTAAAATAGATTATAAAACTAATGTTTTTTTGTTATGGATAAGTTATTGGTTTAGTGATAAATTAACTGATTTTTAAATAAATTTTCTATGAAGACGTAGGATTTGAATTTTTCTCCAAATATGATTAAGTATAAGATAAAAATAAGGAAGAAGCTAAGAAAAAAAGTGTGTTTCTTTTAAGAATAGCAGTAAAATAATTGTGTGCCCTAAGGATATTAAAAAAGGACTAAAGTTAGTAATGGAACAAAAAAGCAAGATAAGAAATAAAGTAAAATAGATAAGTCTTAAACGTCAAAAAATATTTAAATTATATCAAAATTCATCAAATTATTCTTCATCTTATAGATTTGTAGGTATTTAATCGACAAAAACGATGATGATGATATTTAGTGACAAAACTATTTCTCAAGCACAGCGCTAGAGTAAATTATAATGAGTCTCTTTAGTTTTTAGAAATAAATTAAGTAATCTTTCTTATTTAAAACAAATTATTTAATCTTTATATTTTTAATTTTTTTGTAGCTTAATCTTTTTTATTTTTTATTTATTTATTTTTATTTTTGTTTTAAAAATAAAAATAAAAATAAAATGAAAAGTAAGTAAAATTTATGGAAGAATTAATGAAAAAATTGACATTTTTAAATAAAATAATATTAAACTAAGTGTGGTTAAAAGATAAAACTTGTTAAGTAACTAAATAATTAATATTTAAAACAAGTAAGACTTGTTAATTTATTTCTAAAAAATAAAAGGACTAATTTTTAATTTATTCCAAAGGCATGACATGATATTTTTAATATTCATCATTGCGTAGTAGGGATTTAATTAAAAAAATATGATGATGATTATTATAGCATTCGTTGAAAAGAACCTTTCTGCCAGCAAAGCCATGACATGATCGCCATATCATATCTTTTACAAGATTCACACTTGCAAATTAAATATTTTTCTGCTTGGAAATCATCGAAACAGCACACGAAAACTAGCTCTGCTGCAAAAAAATACTTTTGTGAAAATGAAGAAAGCAGAGCTAGTGTTCATCCCTTTACCAACCATGGGCCATGTTGTAGCTGCAGTAGAGATGGCTAAGCTTATGGTTGAACGTGAGGATCGAATTTCCACAAATGTCCTCATAATCAACCCGACTATCGACTCCAGCACTACCAAATACATTGATTCACTCACAGAATCAACTCTACCCAATCGCTTCCGAGTCGTTCCCTTACCCAGGCCTGAGCACATCTCAGAAACTTATGCTGATCATAAGATGCTGCCTTCTTTGGTTGAAGCCCAAAATCCCAATATCAAAGAATTTGTTTCCAAGCTCAAGACTCAGTCAGAGTTGAGTCCTGACTCACCTCGACTTGCTGGGTTTGTTCTTGATATGTTTGTTACCGGAATCAAAAATTTGGCAGAAGAATTTGGTGTTCCCTGGTATGTTTTCTTCGTTTCAAGTGCAGCTTATCTTGGCTGTGTATTGCATCTTCAGGCCCTTCATGATGAGAAGAAAGTGGACCTCACACAGTTCGAAAATTCCGACGCTGAGATGCAAATTAAAAGTTTGGTGAACCGGTTTCCGGCTAAGCTTCTGCCTGATATGGTGTTTGACAGAGAGCCGCTAGCTACTTTGCTTGAAGTTGCCAGAGGGTCGAGTGCGGCAAGGGGTATTTTGATAAATACATTTACAGAGTTGGAACCACATGCGGTTAACTCTCTTTCAAATAGTAAAATCCCTCCAATATACCCGATCGGACCCATTGTGAAATGTGAAGGAAATGGCTATGACGTCCGATCCGATAGCAGCATCGATTACAGAGACATCATGCAATGGCTTGATGATCAACCTCCATCATCAGTAGTGTTTTTATGCTTTGGGAGTTGGGGAAGTTTTGATGTCGAGCAAGTGAAAGAGATTGCATGTGCGCTCGAGCATTGTGGACATCGATTCTTGTGGTCATTGCGCAAGCCTTCAATAAAAGGTAAACCACCGAGTGATTATGTAAATTTTCAAGAAGTTTTAACGAAAGGTTTTTTTGATAGGACGATTGGAAAAGGAAAGGTGATCGGATGGGCTCCTCAAGCGAAAATCTTAGCACATAGAGCTGTTGGAGGATTTATATCACATTGTGGATGGAATTCTATATTAGAGAGTATTTGGTTTGATGTTCCAGTTGCTACATGGCCGATATACGCAGAGCAACAGTTTATTGCTTTTGAAATGGTGATTGAGTTGGGATTATCAGTGGACCTTAAAATGGATTACAGAGAGAATATTCTTGTTGATGATGGTAATGAAGTAATTGTGAACAGTGACGATATAAAAAGAGGACTAAAGTCAGTGATGGAGCAAGACAATGAGATAAGAAAGAAGGTGAAGAAAATGAGTCGAATAAGCAAGAAAGCCTTGATGGACGGAGGATCTTCCTCCTCTGCATTGGCTCAGGTAATTGAAGATGTGATGGCAACAAAGCATGAGGCAATTGTTTCTAGCCGTCATAAATAAAAGGAATATCTATAATGATGTAGAATATCAATTTTTGGGTAAGCTTTATTAAAAGCAATTCATAATGCCTTATTGTAATGATGAAAAAGTAATAATTCTACACAATGAGACATAACTGAGTTGCTGTGTATGGAATAGTTTCATTAAATAGAATAAGCTTTAGTTATAATAATTTCACTTTATTTGGTTATTAATATTTTTGTTTTAACTGTATTACACTGCAAATTCAATAAAATATATAAAATTATTTAAAAAAATATATGAATAAAATATATAAAATCATTTAAAAAAATATATGAAATGAAATGTGAAAAATATTATTTATAATTTTTTAATCAAAAAATTTGTATTTAACTATTTTGTATTTGTGTGTTTCATAATTTTTCTTTAAAAAAAATAATTTATCCTTATTAATCCATGGATTATTAACTAAAAAGAAAATTAAATAATTTTTTCTAAAAAAGCTTTAGTATTTCATAAAATTGTGTCGCAAAACATAAATAACAATTATTAAAAGCTCACATAGAATTGAAAAATTATATATTTTTTTATTTAATGTTGATGAGAATATCGATTTTTTAAAAAATATGAATTTAAATTTTATATATTTATTTACAAAAAATAAATAATATTAAAATAAAAAATATATTACTTTGAATCATTGAGTGATTAAGCCAAAATATTTTTTTAATTATTTAATTCAAAAATAAATAAATAAATAAATAGTAAATGCATAGTATAGAAAAATAATATTATTATAATATGATCATAATATTAATAACATATGACTATATTAAAAAAATGATAAATTAAAGTAGTAAATTTTAAATAATAAAAATAATTAAAAGAAAACTTTAAAATAAAATGAGATTAAATCACAATACAATTAAATTTTGAAATTGAGAAGAAAAAGTATAGAAAAATTGAGAATCAAAGTGCTAAAAATAGACATGAACAGTAAAAGGAATAATAATTTATGAGTGTGTAAATAATGTTTCAAATAATGAAAATGCATCGTAAAACCATATTTTTCTTTATTTTTTTTAATATATATGTAATCAGAAAGTCATCTCATTGTATAGCTTAAAATCTAACAGAACCTTAGATGATTTTTTACTTTTTAAATATCCATTTATTAAGCATTATAAATCTTTTATAATTAAGCTGTATTTAAAACAATTTAGTATTCCCTGTTTAGCTTAAGATCTTTCTTTCAAATAGTTTTTGATAAATGATGATTTTCATTTATTCCTACTACAAAGCATACAAATTTGTTTGATTAATATTATAATGATTTATTTATGTGATTAATGCCAAAGCATTTCTTTTCTATACATATATAACCTCTTTACAAGCTAGTGAAAAAGGTGGAAGAAAAATTGCACTTCCTTTCGGAGACCAAAATTTCTTTTTTTCCGTATGTAGCTCAAAGAATACAATGGAGGAAGCTTAGAAAAAGCATCCAAGGCGAAGAAGAATCAAACAAAAAAGGGTGGAGAAAGAACACGCGAATCAAGAAATAACAGAAGTTCAAAGAAGAAGACATACAAGCCACGACAAAAAAGAGGGCGTAGCACCAAAATAGGCCTCGAGAACTCTTAACCATCCAACGCTTTCGATCATAGAAGAAAGCAGCATAAGGAGGTACCAAGCAAGCACTAACAGGAAGTGGGGCACAATCCTAGACAAAGCTTTAGCAACAAAATTAAGCCATACATTAGGATGTCAGCAGAAAGAGATCCCATACCAGCATATGCCAATGGATATGCTTTGGCAAAAAGAAAAAGAAAAAAAAGATTAAAGGCTTCAAATTAATTTGGTTATTAGAAACTTTGAAATTCTACTTAAAATTAAACCAAACATTCTTTTTGGATTCGTTATACTGATTAATCACAATGATTGGACCTAATTAATAATGCATTAATGAATCATATTATTGTCATCTACATAAATCAAGGTGGGGTTAATTTGTACCTAAATATATATCTTCATTTTTTATATAAATTGAACTGCATATTAAAAAAACCGACACATAATTAAGATATAGATTTGATACGATTCAAATACAATGATATTTTTAGGTTTTTGTGTTTTCTGATGTAGAGTTTAGTAAAACATAAAATATATTAATTCTAAAATATTCTAAAAGCAAGAACAACAACAAAATTGTAAAGAAAACCTCAAGTCTATCATTTCTTATTTAATGATAATTGATCGCTAAAATTCAAAATGTGACTTAAATAGTCTATCTTAAAAACCAAGGACAAAATAGAAAAGAAATAAATCACCAATAGATACGAAAAATGATAAAACCTAAACCCGAATAACTAAAAAGAAAATTTGAATGCTATAATTCTTAAACAGAAGCAATCTAAACTTGTTGGGCTGGTTTGGATGACCAAAAATGCGTGAAAGTAGATTTTTGGAATAAATTTTGACATAAAAACAACCTCCAAAAGTTATTGGATCCAAAAATTAATTTTTTTTTAAAAAAGGTAATTGAAAGGACTCCACAACTAGATATCGTGGTTGATCTAGCAATAGAAAGATTAGTAATGAAGATTAAAACAGATTATAACAAAATCTTCTTCTTCCATATGGCAATAAAGAAATTATAAGGGTCCAGAATAAGACAAAATGGCTAAAGTATTGACAAATTGCGTGGTGCCACGACCTTGGTTTTTTTTAAGCTCTCGTACAACACTTGGCTCACTTCTCCTCTAAGCAAAACAAAGTCAACCTATCTTCTACACAAGTTGTCAAGTAAGAAAGACCTACACAAGAGACATGAGAACTTTTTGTATCCTTCTTTAAAACTTACAACTCTCAATTACACTTTTTTGGATTACACTCTTAGTCGTTTTGGCTAAATAAAGACCTTATCAACTTATAGTCCTCCACCTCCTCAATGGATGGCTAAAATTTATTTGATGGAATGGCTCCAATTCATTCTCTAGAATTATTTCATCTAGATATTTATAGAGAACTATCTGAGATATGTACTAACTAGAGCCATGAGGACTCTCTAAAATTCTCTAGGACATGTTTAGATTTCTCTTGAACAACCTAGAGACTTCTCTATTGCTTCATTATATTCCAGAGGCTTTCAAATCTATCCAGCATCCTTAATTGGCCCCCAAAAATCCCTTTCTACGTACAGGGCAAAACATTTTCCCTCACCTAATCTAGCGACATTCTCGGCGCGCCTTCATTATATTCTTGACCTTTCATGCGAATTTTCACAAAGCTTCAACAGGTTCCAAGCTAGTCATATTTTCCGATAATCCCTTCTATTTTGCATAATACTCCTTTCTTGGTAAAACTCCTCGGTGTCAAATTGTGCAATCATCTAGTATGACATCAATTTCTTCGTCATACAAGTCAACCACTATTGTAGGCACCCCATAAGAAACTCTTCCGCTTGGATTCTTCTCATCTGTATGGTATAGTTTTAACATACTAACATGGAACATCAAATGGATCTTCGAGCTTCGATAATAACTCTAAGCGATATGACACATCTCCCACCTTATGTACTACCTCGAATGGTCCTTCATATTGATATATGAGGCCTTTGTGCACCTTGTGAAATGTCTTATGTTGTTGTGGCAACAACTTCACCATCACTTTGTCAACTTGGTTGGAAGGTGACATCTCTTCCTTTCTTGTTAGCCCATTTTTTCATCTTCTAATAAGCCTTATTCAAATACATTCACATCAAGTCTACTTACTCTACCATCTTTTGCCCAATGAATATGTTGCAAGGCTACTTTCTTGGTACTTTTTACCAAGCACTATCGTATGTAGAGTGAGAGGCTATTGGCCCATCACGATCTTAAATGGACTCTTGCCGGTAAACTCACTCTTCTACATGTTATAAGAAAATTGGGTAATATCCAACAACTTAGCCTAGTCTCGTTAATTGGCACCTACTAAAGTGCCTAAAATATGTCTTTTGTATTGTATTAATCTATTCGTCTACCTATCTATCTCTAAGTGAAAGCTCATGGAGTAATGTAGTTTTGGGCCCAACAATTTAAATAGTTTGGTCCATAGCTTTCCAATAAATCGAGGATCTCAACCATTGATTATATGTCTCGATACATACCAATACTTCATCACATGTTTAAAGAGTAGCTTAGGCTGCGTTCTTGGTCGTCACATCCACTAGGTTTGGTATGAAGGTGGCATATTTTAAGAACGTTTTCATAACTACGATAATGCTCTCAATTTTTTTTTATTTAGGAAAAACCACTATATAGTCCATAGTGATTGTCTTTCATCGTCTCTCTATGGTAGGCAATGGTTGAAATAAACCCCCGAACACTTGATTTTCAACCTTTTCTTACTAGCACACTAGGTATGTCCTTACATAGAACTCCATATCATTGTGTAATCGTAGCAAAAAAAAATATGCTCCCTACAGTAAAGCTCTTGTCTTAGATGTCTAACCCATATCAAGTCATGACATTCTTTCATTAGGTCATGTCGGAGGTTTTCCCACTTAGGTGCATATATTCTTCTCCCTTTCATGTAGAAAATGTCATTTTTTTCTAAAATTTCCCTCCTTAGCAAAGGCTAACAAAGTTTTGGTAATGGGATCATGCTCCATTCTCTCCTTGATTACGGTCATAATCTCCTAATTTACCTTCATCATATGATATAATTTAGCCTTTACGCTAAATACATTAGTCATCACATTAGTTTTGCTCGTTTTATACTCAAAAGAATAGTCAAATTCAATAAGAATGTCTTACCACCAGTCTTGCTTCAATGTCAACTTCTACCGACTTTGGAAGTAACTTATGGCCACGATATATGTCTTCACCATAAATCAAGACCTAACAAATAGTACCTCCGATTAGGTAAGTAATGCACCACTACGAGTCATCTATTTCACTTACATGGAATAACGAAGTTCGGTGTCATTTAACTTTCTACTCTCATAAGCTATAGAATGTTGCTCCTACATTAACATACCACCTAAAGCAAAGTTAGAAGTATCGGTGTATACCTTATATGTCTTGTTTGAATCTATCAAGTTCAACACTAGCTCCTTAATGACGACTTGATTTGCCTCCTTGAAAGCTTCCAAGCACTATTCACTCCACTATCATTTCTTATTTTTCTTCAACAATTCGAGTGAGAGGGGTTATCTTTTTTAAGCAATCACTAATGAATTAGCGAGTAATAATTGACTAAACTAGAAAAAGAGTGAAACTTGAATACCTTGGCTCTTCTCATTTCAAGATAGCATTGATTTTAGTGACATTCATCATCAACCTTTCTCCCGTACTTTTTTTACCCTAGGAAGAGTACTTCCTCTTTAGCGAAAGAGCATTTTTCCCTTTTGACTTATACCTTGCTATCCTTTAGTATCTTCAACATAGTATATAGATAGTCTAGATGCTCCTCTAATGTAGAGCTATAAATCATTATATCATAAGATAGGCCACAATGAAGTGATCCAAGTATGTCTAAAATACCTTATTTATTAAGATGCGGAAGGTAGCTCGGTTATTTATCAAGCCAAATGGCATAACAAGAAACTCATAAGAACCATACTTTGTCACACTCGCTATCTTTAACATATCTTTAACGACAATCCAAACTTAATAGTACCTCGATACGAAATCAAGTTTGGTGTAGAATCGAGTTTTCCCCACTAATTGAACAAGTTAACTATCAATAAAATTGAATACTTATTTTTCATTGTGACTTTGTTCAATCCTCGATAAGCTACACACATTCTTAATGATCTATTATGCTTCTTTTAGAACAACACGAGCAAGCCATAAGGCGATTTAAAGGGTTATATTTATCTTACCTCCGGTAAGTCCTTCAATTGCTTTCTCGATTCCTCTAACTCATGAGAATCCATAAGATAAAATGTCATGGTTGTAGGCTTGGCACCCGATACTAACTCAATTTAGTGATTAATCTCCTTTTTAGGCGGTAACTTCTAAGGTAACTCCGGTGGCATCACATCATCCAATTCATCCAACACATTGGCAATCTCTTTAGGCATCTCCACACCCTTATCATTCCCTATCCCATCTTCTTTCAACATTATCAAGTAAGTGACTTCCCTTTGTTTTAAAGCTCTTCTTCACTTGTATGACTAAAAGATGCTTCATTTTTTATCTAGCATGCACATTGGTTGACACCATACATGGCGTCTCTTCTTTCATCATCACCATTTGCTCCAAGTGAGGTGGAGGCATGACTTTCACTTATTTGAAAAACTTCATGCCTAACACAACATTGAAGTCATCCATCGTAACAATCGTGAAATTCAACATTCCCTTCCATACGTCTATGTCAAGATTCATTCCATATGTTATGCCATTAGTAGGCTTTGGAGAAGCATTTACTATCCGTATACTACTTGAGGTCATTGTCACCACCAAACTAAGTCTCTTAGCCTTATCCTTGACTATAAAATTATGTGTGGCACTTATGTCTAGCATGGCAAGTGTAGTCTTGCCATTCGCATCCGCATCCATGTGGATGTGAATGTTAATTGCTAATTTTTTGAGTAATTTGCTAAATATTTATTTTTTAAATTTTTAGGTTAATATGTTAATTAATTATTAGTTTAATTTAGGTTTAATTAATTAATGAGGTTAATTTTGATTAATTGGTTAATTTTTAATTTTATTTATATTGAAAATTTTTAAGTAATTATTAGTTAAATTTAATTAGGTTTAAATTAGGATTAATTTGATTTTGGTTTAAATTTAATTAGGTTTGAATTAGAATTAATTAGGTTAATTTGATATAGGTTCAATTAATTAGTTATGTTAAATTTGATTAATTAGGTGATTTTTAATTTTATTTATATTGAAAATTGTTGAGTAATTACTAGTTAAATTTAATTAGTTTTGAATTAGGATTAATTTGATTTAGGTTTAAATTTAATTAGGTTTGAATTAGAATTTTTTAGGTTAATTTGATTTACGTTGAATTAATTAATTAGGTTATATTTTATTAACTATTTGATTTTTAATTTTATTTATATAAAAAATTATTAAGTAATTATGAGTTAAATTTAATAAGGTTTGAATTAAGCTTAATTTGATTTAGGTTTAAATTTAATTAGATTTGAATTACAATTAATTAGGTTAATGTGATTGAGGTTTAATTAATTAATTAGGTTAAATATAAAAGGGAGACTATGCTAAATTTTGGTTTTTTTTTTTGTGAAAAATAATTTATAATATATTTTCGGTCGAATTATTATTTATTTGTTGTATTTATTAAACTGGTTTTAGGTATTAATTATAAAGTTATGGCTTATGGATTGGACGGATCTAGTCGTAGTGCTAGTGGATGTGGCTTTGATAGCAACAATGTCCGTCATCATGGCAATGATACTGAAATGTTTATGATCGTGCCATCGATAATGGCACTACTAGTGCACGTGTCCGAGGTCGTGGACTTGATAATGGCATTAGCACGTCAACATCCCCTCCAATAGTGCCCTCGTTAGTAATGCCCCCGCCGATAATGCCCTTGGCTAAGGATGTCCCCATGATGGTTCTTCGACTCTAGAAAACTCTACTAGATCCGATTCTAGACTTACTATTCATATCATGAATAAGCGATAAGTAATATACTTTTCATGTGGCAATTAATTTTATATTTTCATATATTATATTAGAAACAATAATTCTTTTATTTATTATTTATTTATTTTGTTTGGTAGCTTGGTTTCATCATGTAAGTGCTTAACAAAAATCATCGTAATTTTCAAAGAGCGGTTGGACATCTCGACTCCACATGGATGTCTATCTCCGTAGAGACGAAAGACTTCTTCTTTAATGAGTTTAAAGTAATATAACATGAAATGTACTAATATTATTATTTTTCTTCATATAGAAGTAGTTTTTTATGGGATGTCGTCATCAACTTGTTGATTAAGGATGCGTGGGAGAGTCTAACATGGATGTAATACTTGTTGAACAAGCTAATGAAGCTGGAATGACGAGACCCATGTATGTTAAACAACACCGTGGGAAGTATGACATCGAGATTGGGCCACATTTGAAGTTCGAGATCGATCTCAACGAGGCGTTCTAGAACCACATGTCAAAGACAGGTGGTGTCGATGCTAGCCCATCCAAGCATACGGGAGGAGTCCTTTTTTTATTAGGCACGTTGAACGTTAGCTAAATTCTATAATCCATTGTGTTACACATTAATTTTTGTATTAAGTACACATCATATATATATTATAGCATAATAAATTAAGTTGTAACCCTAATCTTACTAGTTATTCATGACCACTCACAAGTAGAAATATGGATCATTCGTTGACAAGTGATCCTAGATAGTAATGGTAAGTTTTTTATTTTTTTAAATAGACTTCAATCAATATAATCTAAAAAATATATTTATAATTTAATATTATAATTATTTTAATGACACAAGAGTATGTGCAATCAATGTAAGGAGCAGTTGCGAAAGAGCAACGAAAGGTGATTCATCATCTTCAAACATCAACATCTTTAAGATATATTAAGATGTTGTAGGGAGGAAAAGAAGCTGAGAGTGTATAGTCTTGGATCACAAGCATCCTAGTATTACTCTCATTCTAGCACCGAGCTACATATCTTGTAGGTTAGGAAATCCCGGTGATAATATTCGGGAGGTTTTACGCTCGATACGAAGATAGGATCAAGAGGATAAAGATTACCATTCAAGAATAGCCTAGTCAATTTAGCAATCTATAGAGTCATATGTAGATAATTATAGGATTGTGATGAGACTTGCAGAAAACTCACGTCCCTCCTACTAACCTCCCCATAACCTAAGAGTCAATCGTTCCTCTCAATACACAATAGCCAGAAGATGATGCGAGAGATGATGAAAATTAGATTTTTTTAAAGGTTTTTTAATGTTTTCATACACTTTATTAAATAATATATCATATTTTAATAAGGTGTTATGTTTAGTTATTTATTTCTATCATTAATATTAAATGACTTGTTAATCTATATTAAAAAATTTTTCATTTAGTTACGAATTAACGATAAAACTTGTGATGGACAATAATATGATCGCTAAATGGTAATGAATTTAACGATAAATCTGTAAGAAATTTTATCGAGAATAATTTAACGATAAAAATAGTGAATTAGTGATGATTTTATAATAAATATGAGACAAAAAAATGATTGTTTAATCTGCTTTAACAATGAAATTTCTACACATTACCGACGAAAGAAATTTTTCGTTGCTAAGAAAATAGCGGCCATAACTTTTGCTATAGAGAGTGTGTTGTCACAAGTTTGTCGATATAAATTTGTCTCCAAGGACAAATAGCGACTGCTTTTTACTATAATGCACCAAAAAGACTGTGTGTGTGGTCCATACTTAGATTTAATATTTCAACAACTTTGAACCATATGTTACACTACAATAATTGGACAAAGCTTTTCTTCTTTTCAGAACAATTCGTACAAGTTCACAGCTAGCAAAGCCATGAGAATACTCTAATAAAGCCCTGCTTCAGGACTATATTTCAAACAAGGTCACAGCTCATTTCATATCTACTAACCACACTAGCCCTCCATCTAGTTTTGCAGCAAAAAATTATACCAAATGAAGAAAGCTGAAGTGGTGTTTACCCCTTTACCTGCTCTTGGCCATATTGTTGCCGCAGTGGAGACTGCTAAGCTCATTGTTGAACGTGACAATAGAGTTTTCATGTCTGTCCTTGTCATCAAGCCAACTCTTGACACAAGTACCAGCAAACACACTCAGTCACTCGCTTCAGCAACTCTTCCCAATGGTATACGAATCATTGAGTTACCCCCTCTTGAGCCTAAATCATTGGATAATGATTGGCTTTCTTACTTGATTGAAGGCCAAAAGCCCAATATCAAAGAATATGTTTACAAGATCAAAATTCAGTCCCAGTTGAGTCCCGACTCTCCTCGACTTGCTGGATTTATTTTTGATGTGTTTTGCACAGGATTGAAAGATGTGGCCGATGAATTTGCTGTTCCCTGGTACCTTTTCTCTGCCTCAAGTGCTGCTTTTTTGGGTTGCATGATACATTTACATGCCCTTCATTATGAGCAAAAGGTGAATCTCACTGAGTTCAAGAACTCAAATGTTGAGTTGGAAATTCCAAGCTTGGCAAATCGGTTTCCTGCTAGGCTTCTGCCTTCCATGGTGCTTGATAGAGAGTGGCTCCCTCATTTTCTTGCCCCTGTAAGAACGTGGAGTGAAGCTAGGGCTGTTGTAGTCAATACATTTGTAGAGTTGGAATCTCATGCAGCAATAAACTCTCTCTCTAAAGATAGAAAGATTCCTTCTGTATATCCAGTGGGACCCATTTTGAAAAGTAAAGGAAATGGAAATGATATGGAATCTGTTGAATGCAAAAATTACATGGACATCATGCAATGGCTTGATGATCAGCCTCCATCATCAGTTGTGTTCTTATGCTTCGGTAGTTGGGGAAGTTTTAGTGTGGATCAAGTTAAAGAGATTGCATATGCACTAGAGCGTTGCGGACATCGATTCTTATGGTCCTTGCGCAAACCTTCATCAAAGGTTCCGAATGAAGCCCCAAGCGATCACGTAAATTTCGAAGAAATTTTACCAGAAAGATTTTTGGATACAACGGTTGAAATTGGAAAAGTAATTGGATGGGCTCCGCAAATAGATGTCTTATCCCATCAAGCTATAGGAGGGTTTGTATCACACTGTGGATGGAATTCTATTCTAGAAAGTGTAAGGTTTGGAATTCCAATTGCTGCATGGCCGATTTACTCAGAGCAACAATTTAATGCTTTTGAAATGGTGGCTGAGCAAGGATTAGCAGTGGAAATGAAAATCGATTACAAAAGGGATTTTATTGAGGATAATGAAATAATTGTTGAAGCTGATGATATAATAAAAGGAATCAGGCGTTTGATGAAACATGATAGCGATATAAGAACGAAAGTGAAAGAAATGAGTGAAATAAGTAAAAAAGCTTTGATGGATGGTGGATCTTCATACTGTTCATTGAATGGTCTGATTGCAGAAATGATAGATAATGTATCTTGAAACAATTGTTCGTGCAAGAAATAAACAGAATATTTGTGAATGAGTTGTTTGTATATTAGTAGAGTAATTTTGGGATTATTTTTTACATCAATCGATATTAAATCCATCATTTTCTCGTTTATATCACTCCTAATTTTTTATCGATTTTAAAAATCGAACTCTATGAATCTATCAACAAATAAAGGAGAGAGACGAGTTTTCTGAGAATGAAAATTAAACTTTTGGTCTAGTAAGTTAGAAACAAATTTTTTAACACTCTACCTATAATTTTCGTTGAGAGTTTATAGATCAATAAAAATTCATATTCCTTGATCCTCATTGTTAGCACCAAATTTTATCCCTAATTTATTGTCATGATTTCTTCAAACAAATAAAATAAAATAAAAGAGACAAGAGAAAAGAAGAAGTGAAGATAAATTGGGAAAATTAATATTTTAGGGACTAATTAAAAAAATTAAAAGAAATAGGGACTAAAAGATCCATACCGAGGGGTATAATTGAAAAAATATGAGAAGACAATGGTTTTAATTTGGGATGAAATTGGTCGAATTAAAAGAAATAAAAATGAGGAGGACTAAAAAAAGGCTTCATGAAGTACACAATTCAAAAGAAATAAGGAGGTGGGAGATTAAAATAAAAGAAGTGCATGAGATATGAGAACAAGTTAAATCGTTGCCATCAAACAATAAACACCCATTATAGAAGCACCCTTCTACTATAGAAAAAAAAAAAAGTAGAATAGAAGAGAAAGAGAGAGAGAGTAGCCATCATCTCTCACCCAAAAATGCTCTACTACTAGCCTAATTCCATTCTTTTCATCGACCTTCACTCGTCGAACCACTTGTTGGCCTCCACTCACATCACCGTCCTCACCCAACAACCCTATAGACATCATTGTATTCTTCTCAAAACCCATTAGCCCACTCGCAACTCTAGTAAAAAAAATAATAAAAAAAACTCATCGACCACTCTCATTATCGTGAACCCTTTCACTGTTCAACCCAACCAAAACTCCTCCTCCATAAAATGCCCTCCAGTCTTCCCCTTAAGCCATCGTTCTCCATAGCTCTACAACCCAAACAAACTCATTAGCTTCTGCTCTCTTTTCACAACCTAGTTGCACCAAAACCCAACAACCCCATAGCCCAAACAAACTCACAAGCCACTCCACCAAATCGAACCTTTAGAAGACCCTCTAACCACCACAAACTAGCCACTTCGGTCACTTCAAGCACCAAGGTAACTATCATCACAATTGCACCACCACACTAGTGATAATAATTTGTTAATAGGTATTTGTTTTTTTCTCTTCGCCTAACTAAATAATCGGTCTTTGTCGGGGTTAAAGAAGTTAGAACTAACCCTAATTTTGGTCATCATAGGTTTTGATAGGTTCTAACTATATTTCAACAACTAGCCATAATTTTTCTATTGCTTAGTAAGCTATTGAAATCCTTAAATTTTAATTTGCATGTTCATAGAAGGAACTTAAATTAATTATCAAATGGAAATTGAATTTATTTGGTTGATGATAATTTTAAGTGTTTGAGATGCACCGTTGTGTATCAAATTTGAAAAGGGTCAAAGACCCTGAGTACTCTTGAGATTAAATAAGGCTAGTGCTCAATGCTCGTAATGGAGTTGGAACGACGAGAATTGAGATTTAATTAAATAGATTATCCGAGATAAGTTTCAGCCTTAATGAGTATTATTTTTTTATTATTTGTTGTCTATTTATGAGAGATTGAATATGTCCGATTATGTCCGCTTGTGCTATCAATTAATGGATTTTTTGTTGCTTGATGATGGTTAATGGGATAGATCATTTGCTCGATTTCTTTTTTGTGTGAAAATCATGGCATTTGAAGTCACGTCGATCCGACTCCTACTTTAGAGCCTTTTTTGCCAATTTATCAATAAAGCCACTTTGTCCGCCTTATATGTGAAATTCATGGCATTTGAAGTCACATCGGTTTAAGCCCGACTTCGGACCATTTTTGCTAATTTTGTCAATTAAGTTAGTTTGTCGGCCTTTTATATGAAAATCATGGCATTTGAAGCCACGTCGGTTTGAGCCTTGTTTTAGAACATTTTTTTCAATTGTGTCAATTAAGCCAATGTGTCCGCCTTTTTGTGTAAAAATCATGGTGCTTGAAGCCATGTTGGTCCGAGCCTTGATTTGGATTGTTCTTGTCAATTTTGTCAATTCATGGTTATTCACTTGCTAATTTTGTTGTCGTTCATTTGGAAATCATGAAACTTGAAGCCACGTTGGTTTGATCCTTAATTTAGACCATTCTTATCGATAGTATCTAAAATGCCTATTTACTTGCCAATTTTTTCATGTTTGTTTATGTTTGAAAATCATAGTGTTTGAGGTCACATTAGTTTGAGCCTCAATTTGGACCACTTTTATCAAGTTTGCTATCTATGCCTCATTATGTTAGCCATTTAATTAAAAATCATGATGCTTGAAGTCATGTCGATTCGAGCCTAGTTTCTAGTCATTTTTGCTAATTCTTCTTATATGAATGTTTTGTTTTTGAAAACCATGATGCATGAAGTTGTCTCGATCCGAAACTTGTTTCGAACTATTTCCACATAGCAGCTTTCCATACCGCACGAAATCTTCCGTGGGAGACATTTCGCTAGACATATATCATAAAAGTAGTGAAAAGAAGATTTTTTTATTTTTTTCAATTATGTGCTTTTCATAAAGTCTAGAGTTTGCATCGGCTCAAAACCTATTCCGGACCATTTCTATCAATTTTCATGCTTTTCCATTTTTATTTTGTTTTGCTTTTTTTTTTTTCGTCTAGGTCTTAATTTGATTTATGAATTCTTAGAGTGAGGATAAGGTCTCCGACCGACTAAATCCCAAATCACTCAATCGATTGCAAATGCTTAAAATTAAGTGTAGATTTTTCATCACATAATAATTAAAAATCAAGTTAAAATTTGTATGCAATGCGAGCTTATCCGAGGTAGGTCAAAGTAGGATGATTTTAATATTCCCTATATGTAACCAACCTATTATCTAAAACTTTGAGCAAACCAGCCAAGTGGTTTCCTAATGATCTTAATACTAAGTGATGACTCTATTTTTTTACCCATTCTCTATTTTTTAATCATCGTCTTTCCAATGAAGAGTGCATAATTTACATGACTTTTATGCTTTTTTACATTGAACATTTTGGTATTTATTGTTGTATATTTAGAAAATTAAGATCAAGATAACAATTTTGAGTTTTGTAGAAAAAATGATGAATCGAAACAAATAAAGCCAAGCCAAAGCTATGAAGGAGCTTAAGGAGACAAACAACCATGTGAATTACAAGAAAAAATAGCTACCGGTCATATGAAACAAATGAGGAGACTATGTGGTTATTCAGCAATAAAACCACACGGACGGTAGTAATCCACACGACATAGACTAAAGAAGAGACATGCCTATTTGTACGAAAGTGAGAAGTAATCCAAAGAATGACATAATGAAGACACACGAGTAGAAGAAAGTGACATGGGATAAAGAGATAATTTCACATGGGCGAAGCTAGGGACACAAGAAGATGAAGCAAAAGAAGATATGAGATGGAGTGTAAGTGGCACACGACTATATGCCTCATCTAGTAAGCCATGCAACATTAGCTAGTTAAGGATGCAAATTGCATGAAGTAAAAAAGTAAGCCATGTGTGTTGAACCATCAAGTCGTGTGTCAACCTTAGGTGGTCATATGTATGTTGTAATCCTATTTTTGGTTATAAATAAGGGGCTAGGGTTTTATTTGAGAAGACTCTTTTTGATACCCATCATAGATAGAAAGTCTCCCTTATAATTAACCATAAGTCACTAAGAATCTATCTTGGTTGAAGGAAAGTTAAAGCTTTTGGTAAAAATCGTTATAAGATCTTAACAAGTTCTAATTCTAAACTATTATTTTTTAGTATTTTATGTTTTTCGAGTGTTACTTGAATATGATTGTGTGATTAATTGATTAGAGTGCATGCTAATTATTTAATCATTATAATCGATTGCTAGCTAAGTATTCAAGTCCGTGTAATTGCTTATCTAAACTTGCCTACAATAGTAACCGGGGTCAATGATTATAAAAGCATTTTCATTTAATCTCTTGAAAAACATAAAATTAGATTAAATTCTTCTAGCAAATAGAAGGATTGTTTAATCATCGTCTTTTCGATGATGAGTGCATAATTTACATGACTTTTATACTCTTTTATATTGAACTCTTTGATATTTATTGTTATATATTTAGGAAATTAAGATCAAGATAACGATTTTGAATTTTGTAGAAAAAACGACGAATCAAAGAAAATAAGCCCAAGCTAAAGCCATGAAAGAGCTTAAAGAGACAAACAACCATGTGAATTACAAGAAAAAATAGGTACTAGTCATGTGAAACAAATGAGGAGACCATGTGGTTGTTCGGTAATAAAACCACACGAACAATAGCAATCCATACAACATGGACTAAAGAAGAGACACTCCCATTTGTATCAAAGTGAGAAGTAATCCAAAGAATGAAACAATGAAGGCACGCGGGTAGAAAAAATGACACGGGACAACGAGATAATTCCACATGGGCATAAGCTAGGAAGACAAGAAGATGAAGAAAAAGAAGACATCGGATGGAGTGTAAGTGGCACACGACCGTGTGCCTCGTCCAATAAGCCATGCAACATTAGCTAGTTAAGGATGCAAACTACATGAAGTAAAGAAGCAAGCCATGTATGTTGAACCATCAAGTCGTGTGTTAACCTTAGGTGGTCATATGTATGTTGTAATCCTATTTTTAGTTATAAATAGGGGGCTAGGGTTTTACTCGAGAAGACTTATTTTGGTAGCCACCATAGATAGAAAGTCTCCCTTGTAATCAACCATAAGTCACTAAGAATCTATCTTAGTTGAAGGAAAGTTAAAGCTTTTGGTAAAAATTATTGTGAGATCTTAACGAGGTTCTAATTCTAAACTTATTCTCTTT